AGGCTCGCAGTTCAAGGTTCAACATACATCCCAGAAGTACTAAAATATATCAAAGTATTCGACCCCGATTCTGGTGGAACGAGATGAAAAGAGAATTGCTGATTTCATCTCCAAGTGCCTTGTATATCAATAGGTCAAGATAGAGTATCAACGCTTAGACATGTTACTTCAATCATTACCAATGTTGGAGTGGAAATGAAAATATATCACTATGGATTTTATAATAAAGTTGTCTAGGGCATGCTCGAAGTATGATGCAATTTGGGTAATTTTGACCGACTCACTAAATCCTCTCATTTCCTGGCCATTAGAATGACTAACCCCTTGGATAAGCTAGTTAGAATCTATATTCGAGAGATAGTCAAACTATATGGAGTTAAAGTGACAGTGGTATCAGATAGGGACCCCAAGTTCACCTCTTAGTTTTGGACAAGTTTTCAGCAAGCAATGGGGACGAAACTGTCTCTGAGCATAATATTCCACCCTCAAACAGATGGACAATTAGAACAAACCATTTGCACACTGAAGGATATGCTCAGGGTTTGCGTTTTAGAATTCGGAGCGCATTGAGTTGACCACCTACTCCTGATAGAGTTCGCTTACAATAATAGTTGTCAAACAAGTATTGGCATGACTCCGTATAAAGTATTGTATGACTGACCCTGTGGGTCGTCGATATGTTGGAAATAGGTGGATGATAGAAAATTGATTGGTCTGGATCTTGTAGATGAGACCATAACGAAGATAGTTAAAATCAGGAAGAACATCCAAATAGTTTAGAGTAGACAGGAAAGTTATGCGGATACCCGAATGAGAGATTTAGAATTTGAGAAGGGCAATTGAGTGTTCCTTAAGTTTACCCTTTTTAAGGGTATCACTATGTTTGGGAAGAGGGAGAAGTTGAACATCCAGTTCATTAGACTGTTTGAGATCTTGGACAGGATTGAGACATCCGCATATAAATTAGTACTACCTCCAAAACTATCTAGAGTCCATAATCTATTCCATGTGTCAATGCTACGAAAGTACAACTTGGACCCCTCACATGTATTGTTTTATGAGCCACTCCAACTTTATGGTGATTTATCATACTAGGAGGTACTGGTTGGTATTTTAGACCGAAAGAGCAGAATGTTTCGCAATAGAGAAATTCCCTTCATCAAGGTCCTATGGTAGAATCATTCGTATGACGAGACCAATTGAGAGTTAGAATCAGACTTCAAGACCCAGTACCCTCAATTGTTTGACTAGTGGTAGAACGAAAAAATTGGAGGACTAAATTTTTTTAAAATGGGAGAATTGTAACACCTGAGCATGGAAATTAGGTTCGGGATAATCAAAATTATATTAAAAATAAATTTAGATATTTTAAATTTTAATTTTTTTTTAATAATTATGAATAAATATACATTTTGGGTGTAATTGAAAATACTTTTCAAAAGTCAAGGCCAAAATAGAAATAAGAAAGAACCTATTTGAATAGAAAATTGAAAAACTGGAGCAAAAGTTCAAATAACAGAGAACATGCCACGTAGGACCTTCACGTCAGCAGAACGACCAATCACCGTGTGCCGCGTGGTAGACACACAGATACGCATCCACGCGGGAAGCCACACGGGCAATCTGCGTGCTAACCGATCCAACGACCCAGGTTCACTACCACGCGCATAAATGACCCATATTCGTTTCCCCTTCAGATGCAATGGGACAACTCCAATTGCATCCAATCGTCCAACCCATATTCATTTTCCATATAAGATTGATCCAACAGCTGGAAATTGGCCACATCTCCTCAAATGGATGACCCGAATTCAGTGAAAATGAGAAACCCTAATCCTAGTCGTAACCGATCCCGTCAGAGAATAAGAAGAAGGGCGACCGAAAGAAAATTCGACCACCATTGTCGTCGCACCGGAGCTGTCACCGACGCTGGAAGGTGAGTTTTTTCCTCATTTCAATTCATAATTTGATTCTAAGCCTTCTCAAACCCATATCGGTACCGAAAAACCAAAGGAGAAGTTGGAAACTGAGGGTGGAGCTCAGCTGAGCCGTCGCACTCGTGACCCAAAACCCCTCAAGTGAGCCCGAATCCCCTTCCTATTTCCTTCCATTTTTTGGTAATTGGATTCCTGACTCTTTCCTGGTATAGGACAACTGAAGAGAACCCCAACCATAAGAGAGGAACTATGAAGCCGACGTATCCAAATACCACCCCATCAGTAATGCTTCGATTTTTTTTTTACCAACAGAGGTCACCTAAATCATGTCAGAACCCTAAACCGGCCCATAAAATTTTAAAACCCTTATTTTTGGCCTTTTTGGGTATTTTGAGATATGTGATGTGTGTTTCGATTTTTGCAACAAAAAAAATTTAAGAAATTCGGGAACCGCTGGGAAGTGTAGTGAAAAAAGTGATGCTTCGAACACTGATTCGGGGTAAGAATCCCTCAACCTTTCTCTTGTTACGGTTAATTAAAGCTTAAATAATATTAAACAGTGAAATTTGTGAACACTGACAACCTTTTATTAATTAAATTGAGGTCACCGATAGAGTTGATAATTGGTCAGTGTATAGTTTATCTATATTGCCTATTCTTAATTATTTACTATTATATTGTGTGCTTTAATTTATTGATTTTAATTACTTTCTCATTTATTAGTTTACTTAACCATTTTATCCCTATTTGTTGATTGGTTTGAATTAAATGTCCTGACTACGCCTTTCTTTGTTATTAATGTATCAAATCATATTACTTGTTTAATTGTCGTTATATTGTCCTATAATTATGAAATAAGATTGTTGTATGTAATTGATGGTTGGTTGATGATGAAGATATGTATGTGAAACGCTTACCTGGTGTTATGAAAAATGGTGTACGGACTCGGTACATATGAGAAACCTTACCATTAACATTACCTTAGTCGAACGAGGCTGAAAATTCTCATACCATAAAGGGGTTAGGAAATACTTGTTCACCCTCATACCGGACGGGGATATTGAGGCGGTGGTACATCTGGCACTCATTACGGGATGAAGTATGAGAACGATCGGTTAATTAATAGATTGGATATTAGGTCCACGTGTAGTGGAAAACCCTATGGGACCCTTAGTGACACCAATAAGCAAGTAAAAATGTAGAGTTTTATTATTGTTGTTTTTTTAGTATTTCTAATTGATTATTATCTTGATTATTCCTTCACAAATCGTATTCCTTCACAAGTCGTATTTGGAAACTTAAAAGTTGAGTATGAAATTAACGTTTTTTTATAAATTAAACGAATTTGCCTAAAGAGGAAAATAGTTCCATTGATTATTTTGCGATTTTTACCAACTTTTAATTTTTCGTATCGGTTGTAAAATGTTAATATCCTTACTAAACTAGTGTAGGTTATCCCTTTTATTGAACAATTTTAGATTAGGATGATCAAGATCCGGATCCGGAACAACAAGCAAGTTAACGATTAAATGTTGCCTCCCATTTCCTATCAATTGCGCTATAGAGGTTGACCCTAATGGTTTCTAGTTGCACTATTCTTTTTGTTATTTTGGTTTTCTTCAAGAAATATTTTCGTAACTCTATTTGATATTTTGATTAAACAGTGCAATGAATGTAAACTTTAAATTTTTAATTGATTATGCTAATATCTTATTTATTTAATATTATCCTTCAATTAAATTTTTGGGACGTTACAATATGACTTATCTACATCACATGCATTGTTAGTGAAAATTAGATGTCATTAAAAAAATTAATAAAGAGAATAAATTTTTTTAGGCTTTTGAAAGTCCAAGGGGAAATTTTAAGTATTTTTGAAAATTCAAGAGAAATTTTAATATTTTAGAAAATATATATATATATATATATATTTTGTTTTCATTTGCTTACGTAAAAAATGGCTTAAAATTTTGACAATTATAATGTATAATTATATAATAGTATTCAATTACAAAATATCTAAGATATTTTAAGTAAAAGTTTGAATTAATAATTTTTTGACTTATGTAATTATTATTTATTTGGGTACGAAAATAAGTACTTAAATTTATAATTACTAACATTGTATATGAATTTTAATTCGATTCCCTCTCATAATTAGCAATAGATAGAAGTTCTACCTTTGGTCACATATATACATTCCAAGTAAAAAAAAATATATATAATAATTGATACACTCATTTAGATTTAATTATAAAATATTTAATAACAGTTAAAGTAAAAAAAAAATTAAATTTTTTTTTTAAACTTGTGTAATTATTATTTATTTGTATATGAATCAAAATCAATTCTCTCTTATAATGAGTAATAGATTGAAATTCTATCTTTGGCAGAATATATACATTATAAATACAAAAATATATACTAATTTATACACTCGGTTTAGAATCTAACTGTTTGGCTAAATTTAAGGTTTAATTATTATGTAACAAAATTTTGAAAATTTTTACTGGGTTTATGTAAAAAGTAATTTAATAACCACTAAATAAATAATTTTAAAAAAACTAATTAAATATATTATATATATAAAAAAAAATGGTCACAGCTCACGTCACATCTGTCACCCATCCTGAGCCATTCATTGATATTTTATAACGCAACATCCGAATTGGTAATTCCAAGATCACCCACATTCTTTTATTGACTCTTTTCTGCTGCAATAGATAAAATATATATACATATACATACATGTATACATATATGTACTGTATCAGACGATCAAAATCTATGTCTCCCCAGTTGATAGGTATGGACCCTACCCAATCATACAACCGTATGATTAAATAAACACACCTAAAAAATCGTTCACAATCTGAGCCATCGGGATCTAAATGAATCTATTGCACTAGGGTCCCAACTTGATTTGCTACAGACATGGAAAGTTGGCTCGCTATGGTCCAATGATAGGATGACACGTGGATTGAGCGGGTCAGTTCGGGCACAGGGCAGGGCAGGGTAGGCGCATTACCTTTGCCCTCTCACGCAACAATAATTCTCCACTTCTCTCATTTGTTTTAGTTTGGGTTTCCGTAATCCTCCCCTTCTTCCAAGGAAGGAGACGAGTACGTTTCCTTCCATTTCTTTTCTTTTTTTTTTCTGAATTTTGCCCGCTTTGCTTTTTCTTCCTCAGAATATGAAAAGCTTTTAAAGAATAATATTTGTTCTGAAGAGACGGCGGGCATCTTTTGTTTCCTTCAGACAATTCTTAGTTTCCGACTATCCTATCATATTATATGACAAATTTGTAAAAGAATGTTTTTCTTCTGCTATTAATAATTAAGAGAAGAAGGGAGTTGTTTTCTTTTTTCTTTTTTGTTTTTTTTTTTTCTTGTTTCTGAAGGGGCAAAAGGGGGAAATTTAGATGGGTTTTCTTGTTGATACACAAAGGGAAGGTGTTGGGTCTTCATGGGGTTGTTTGAGGAGCTTGGTGAGGAGGAAACAGGTGGATTCCCACCATGCCAGAGCTGGAGTTCATAATCAATTGGCCAAGGCCTTGACGGTGCCTCACTTGATTGCCATTGGTAATTCTTTTCTCTCTTCTTCCTGTCTTTTAGAATGGAAATTTAATCTGATTTTTTTTTTTTATTTATTGTTTTTAGCAGTTTGGTTGAGTTTTGTTTAGAGGTGGTTTCTTGTTTCATGGTTTTGGATTATTTTTATTTAAAACTTTGTTTCTAATTGATTCTTATTTGCTTGATGTATGTTATTTCTCTTTGCTGTTTGCGTAAGTTTCCTTTTTGATAAGAAATGTTTTCCAAAACTTTTCAGGTTGATTACACTACTAACCTTAATGGCTATACTTGTTCATTTTCTTCTTTTGATGTTTGTAGCATTAAATTTATTGACTTTATCGTGTATAGACATACCCTGATACCTGAAAATGCTTTTGAACTGTATATGGTTTCAATTTGCCAAGACTATGCCTTATTTAATACGTAGATTTTCTATCAACTTTTTTTCTCTCTGTCTTTCTGTGTTGTGAGTCCAATTTCCTTACAAGATTGTCACAACATCTAACTAGAGCTCTTTGTTCTAGCGTTTTCTTTGCTTGATAAGTAGCGTAGCATTCACTCTTTCTACATGATATGTAGGCGTGGGCTCAACAATTGGAGCTGGAGTTTATATCCTGGTAGGAACAGTTGCTAGAGAGCATTCTGGACCAGCCCTCACCTTCTCATTTCTAATAGCTGGAATTGCTGCTGCCCTTTCAGCCTTTTGCTATGCCGAACTTGCCAGTCGATGTCCATCTGCTGGCAGTGCCTATCACTATTCATACATTTGTGTTGGTGAAGGGTGATTCCTTGCTACCACCTTACAGCTTTTGAGCAATTATCAATACTTTTAAATTTCTAATAATGTTAAGGTCATTGTGTTATTTGTTTTGACAGGATCAGCTTGGATATGAATGTTTATGTTTTTGACTTTTGGTACTGTTTCAGCTTTTGATTTTAGCTATATGTCAATTTCAGTGTTGCTTGGCTAGTTGGTTGGGCTTTGATACTGGAGTACACAATTGGTGGAGCAGCAGTTGCTCGTGGGATATCCCCAAATCTGGTTAGATGAGATTTTGGCCTTGAAATTTACTTATTTTGAGTTATTATTGGGCTTTGCTGAAATTATGGCATTAGTATATTGTTTGGTAGTCATACTCTAGTGTTATTCTTTTATTTTTATGTTATCCCTGGTAAAGCTGAACTGTTTGCTTTCTCTCCTGTCTTTTCTATTCATGTCCTGCTACGATCTTATTAGAGAGGAAAAATAGATTATCTTCCACTAGATGCAAGTATCTGATTTCCATTTTCAAGTGAAATGGTGAGTTTCTAATGAGCAAGAAGAAAAAGAAGAAGAAGAAGAAGAAGAAGAAGAATGATTCTTTTTTTTTTTTAGTTAAGAAAAAGAGGAATATTTACTGTTTTCACGCCCTTTTAGGTCTGTGATTATTTTTGCTAGACTAATTAGAGTTGCATCTTAATTCTGTTTCAACCATCATCACTCTTACCTTATGGTGAATTTCATTTTTCACTTCTCTAAGTGAAAATTGGAAAATCAGATAAGGAATTCAAGACGGGACTAGTGGTTTGAGCTTAAAAGTTATAATAAACTTCTATCTGTCAAGATTCGTTTAGCAATTAAGTGAACAAATAAGGTTGGAAATGATGGGAATTGAATAAGACAGAGCAATAAGGAATAATTCAAGAAATATCTTCGAAGATGTAAGAAGGGACTGATAGCTTTTGCTAATATCTCGTTGTGACTGGATGGTAGCATAAGAACTTGTTTTAGCTTGTTTCTTCTTTGGGTTTTCTTCAAATGTTTTTCATATTTGGTTTCTGTCCATAACAAAAATATGAATTTCTTAGCTTCTATTTCCCTTTACCTTTAATATTAACAATTGTTTAAGAGATGGGGTGTGGGGTGGGTCTCTCTACTTTATCATGCTTTACTATCTGCCTTCTTATTTATCTTCTTTTTCTTTTTTGAGAAATCATATCACGTACCTCCAGTCTTACCATTCCTTTCTTTCTGAAAAAATACAGGCAATGCTTTTTGGAGGTGAGAGTAGTCTGCCCTTTTTTTTAGGTCGTCAACACATTCCTGGTCTTGACATTGTGGTGGATCCATGTGCTGCTATTCTGGTTGTCCTAGTAACTGGGCTATTGTGTGTGGGAATAAAGGAGGTAATCTCCTTGAAATATATTTTGCTTTTATGCTTTAAAAAAAATCTTTTACATAGATTTTCTTTGCATAAAACTTTAGTAGAATTTTTCTTATGCAGAGCACAGTTGCCCAAGGTGTTGTCACCACAGCAAATGTTTGTGCCATGATTTTCATTATAGTAGCTGGTAGTTATCTGGGGTTCAAGACTGGATGGGTTGGATATGAACTTCCTACAGGGTAACTGGTCTTCCATCTTTTACTCAACCCAATATGATGATTCCAAAAGGATTTAATATAATGCATTATTTCTCCTTTAGGTATTTTCCTTTTGGGGTAGATGGGATGCTTGCTGGGTCTGCAACAGTCTTTTTCGCATACATTGGGTTTGATTCGGTTGCAAGCACTGCAGAAGAGGTCTCTTTCTCTCTCTCTTTCTCTTCCCTCTCTCTCCATCTTGGTGGAGCTCATTCACAATATCAGTAGAGTATTATTTGCCTTTTTGGTGGCTTTGGTATGAGAGAGCTTCAAATAAATGGTCATACTCAAACTCTTAATCACTTCTTGCAGGTAAAGAATCCTCAGAGAGATTTGCCACTGGGAATAGGCATTGCACTGTTTATTTGTTGTTCCTTATATATGATGGTGTCTGTTGTCATCGTTGGTCTGGTCCCATATTATGCTATGGATCCAGACACCCCAATTTCCTCTGCATTTGCTAGCCATGGGATGCAATGGGCTGCGTAAGTGTAGAAGTTCGATTGGGATTCATGACTAATTCCTTCTGCTTTCCTAAAAAAGCAATTCTAATTTTATGTTTGGAATCATTTTTTATTCTAGTTACATAATAACTGTTGGAGCTGTTACTGCTCTCTGTTCAACATTGATGGGTTCCATTCTCCCTCAGGTAAATCAATTAAGTCCTTAATATCTTCTGCCATATGTCTGATACAGTTCTTCAAATTACTCGTCAGTAAAAGGTTTTTTATTTGACATGATGTTTAGTAATGTCATTTATGATCGATTTCCTGTTGTTTATAGAGTTATGGAAATGGGGCATGATAGAAATGAAAGGGAATCTTGGAGATAATATTGATGCTTAGTGACTGTTGCTCCCTGAGTATTCAACCTATTCAATCTTCTTCTAAGTGTTTAACAAATCAAATGCTCGCTAATTCTAGTAAGCTTATTACAGAAAAATTACTGAGAGATCAAGGCATATCCATATATTTTAGTTTCCCTTTAATTTTTCAATTTTAATTAGTATGACTTCTCTTTCGGAATGTATGC